CAATTGTAGGGAACTACTATTTACTACTATTGGCAGCATCTGAGAAAGGTGAAGTAAAGGAATTTATCATTTTCTGTGAAAAAAAACCCAAACTTCAGACATGAAATATGGTCCTTGGATATTAGACCCCAGTCAGACCAAGACAGCAACTCCTGCATCGGGAGAACAAACGTCAGGACTGGAACTGACTGAAATATTTCAAGGCTGCATGAGCGGAGAAGCCAGGCGGATTCCAGCAGCCTTTCTACTATGAGAAGACAAAAGTCCATGTCCGGATGCCCACGGAGACTCACATTTACAGAGCACAGAGAAGAAAGCTAGGTCTCTGGAAAGCTCCAGGTGCTTCCCACTCTCAGTTTTTCAGCTGAGCCCTGATCCGCCCACAACCGTGAGGAAACTGTCCAAGGCCAGAGGGGGAAAAGAATCACAGGACAGAAGCATGCATGCAGGTAATACTGGAAATGGAAGAATGTGTGCTCTCAGTGCACAGATATAACAAAGCTTAAAAACAGACTTCAGATCTCAGAAGGTTCAAACTGTATCCAGAACAGAGTTTGAAAATATCAAAAATATTTACATCTGTGCTTGTACCCAACCAGATAAGCTCCAAAATATCTACCGTTTAGTCAAAAATCACAGGGCAAATGAGGAAGCAGGAAGTCAAACCGGTCAGCAGACTCATGACACAGATATGGAAACAGTAGACGGGGACATTAAAATAGTTATTACAACTATAGTCAACACAACTGAGAAGGCAGAGGAAAAGCTGGGAATGTTGAATAGGTTTGTAGAAGACACACGGAGAATTCTGAAATAAAACATCTGAAGATTAGAGATTTCATATAATTCTTAATTCCAAGGTGGAAAAATATGCTTGGCAGCATTATCAACAGGTTAGATATGTCACAAAAAAAAAAATGTAGTGCATATGCAGACATACCATTAAAAACTAGTCCAGGGCCTGAGAGATGGTTCAGGGGATAGGAACACTGGCTGTTCTTCCAGAAGATCCGGGTTCAATTCCCAGCACCCACATGGCAACTCACAATTGTCTGTAACTCCACTTCCAAGAGATTTGATCTGACACCTTCACACCAATGCATATAAAATAAAGTAAAAAACAAAACAAACAAAAAAAACTATTTTAGTCATCGCATTACTAAGCCAACATAATCTGTAACTATATTCTAAATATTTGTCCTCATACCCACAGATAAGTGTATCCCCATCCCTCATCCAAGAAACTTCTCTTTGCAACAGATGGAGACTATTACAGAAACCACAACCAATCAAAGTGCAGAGCTGTGGAGTCTGGTCCCACTGGACCTATCTATGGTACAAGTCCTGCACCTAAGGCTCAGGGAACATTTCAAAAGAAAGAGTGGAAAACTTGTAAGAGCCAGAGAGAGGATCAGGGAGTTTGTTGTGAGATTGTGTCTCCTAGTGATGTCGGAAGCCCAGTAAGCCTCACTAACTCGACTTTAAACACGAGCTGAACACACATGCTAAAGAGGATATGGGAAAGACCACGAGGTCTCAACCCTCCACAAAGAACTACAGGATACCGAGGAATGCCGGGAGCAGGAGAATTATTCTTCCCTAGGGAAGAGCGCACCAATTAGTTATCCAATACCAAATGACCAGACCTGAAAACATACTTACAAGTAACATTATACAGACAGAGCAGGTTATATTTAGCAATGTCTATGTCTATATACCATATACATACACATATATGTATATAATGACAGTTAATGAAAAAAACACTGCATATGAAATCCTGCTGGCTTTCAAGGATTCCAGAAAATCTCCTGTTTCCATGTCCTGTTTTATCACAAGAGCAGTGGGGTGACAGATACAGCTTCTTAGGGCACACATGAAGGTCCTCACACTTGCATAGCACAAGCTTTTACCCATATAGCCCCTCAGCCCAATTTCCAGAACCTTTATATTTTAGGGAAACTGCATAGGAACGTGACATGGGAATAATCACACTCTGTGGCTTGTGCATATTAACAGTTATCTCAGAAAAAGATGCAGACACAAATTAGGGGTTCACTTTAAAGAACTCAACATTTTTATTCTGGAGAAATCAGGCTTCAGTTTGTAGACGTGAGATTTCAGCTGGAAGTCTGGTTTTGTTTTTAGCTCAGGCCTTGCTTTGAGCTTCTCTGTGGTTTAGGGATATAGAAATATGACTTTGCTGGGGAGGCTAACTGGCAGTGAGGTGTGCCAGGAGAGACCATGAAGGTTGTTACTAAGCAATGACAATGTAAGTGAAAATAACAAATGGGTGAAATGAACGTCTGTGGGTCAAATTGCTCAAGGCTAGTAAGGGGAGCACAAAAGGATGACTCTGACCTAGAGAAGATGACAGCCATCCCAGACTTGGGGTGTGGGAGGGGCCAAGGAAGACGATAAAATAGGCCCTGGTCAGGTGACACTACAAGTTCTATTGCCCTGGTCATGGGAGATGCTTCTCCTCGGCAGACAGTTTTGAAGCCATATAGAGAGGTCAAAATAAAGACAATGCAAGTGGCCGGTGTCCACCGCAGATAGGGCACACAAATGGAATACACACTCTGATAGTCTTACTTAAACTTAGGTGTATTAATTCTAACTTTCCTGAAGAACAGAAAAGAACAACTCCATGCAGTTCAGTTTTCATCCCCTGTAGGAAGACTGTGGCCAGAACACCGTTTTCCCTTTTTAATGACTGGTTCTTCTGTGTCCTGTTAGGTTTTTAAAGAGACTCAAACTCCCTCCTACCGACTCCTGAGACATTATCAATTAACCACACACAGCCCATCGAACACAGCAGAGCTGTAATTAAACCAAATTGCCATGTAGTAGCTTTCATTACACAATGACACAGTTTTTGTTAGGACCATAGAGAGAGTTTAATTACACGTCTAGACACCCCCTGAAGGCAGAGTAGCAGTATTATCTTTGGATCTTTAAAGGAGAACTTGAGCTGTTGATGGCTGCATTCTTAAGAGATATGTGATAAGGTATATTTAGGGGATCTATCAGTTTCCTTTTAAATTCTACGTTCTACTTCAATGCATACTTAATAATCTAGGAATTGTTTGTGTATCTGTGAATAAAAAGGGTTTTGAAGGGAAGTGTACACATTTCCACTTCTTTTCCTATGTGATTTACCTTTCATTTGTAGTCAAATAGTTTAACTCTGATGTATCCCAATGTCAACCCCTTTTTCTTTTTCTTTGTCCTTTTTCTTGTGTATGTGCTGCGAATGCACGTGTGTATTCTTGCGTCATGTGTTTGGAGGTCAAAGGACAATCTCAGATCTCAGTCAGCCCCATCATTGCCTTTGCTTGAGAGGTCTCTTGTTCCGTTTGCCTGCTCCAGGCTAGCTGGCTGGGCTTCCCAGAATTCTCCCATCTCTACCTCCCATCTTGCCAGAGGAGTGATGGGATTATGGACATCCATGGTGCCAAGCTTTGTGTGACTTCTGAGGATCCTAACTCAGCTCCTCACACTTGTGTAGCACACTTTTGACCTACCCATTGTGCCATTCCCCAGCCTCATCCTTTTCAGCATAGAAAGCATGTCCTATTGTGTCAGACACCCTCGTCTTCAATACCCTTCCTCCGCCTTGGAGCAGAAGCTGCCTGTCCCCTGAGATTGGGGTGTTTTCCCCCATCCCTAGCCCTGCCATGTGCCTCTTGGGGTTCCAAGACTGTACAGACATTTCCTCTGTGCCCACTCTGAATATTGTGTTTCTCATACTAAAACTTGCTTGCTGTTTATTGCTTTGTAACTGCGGACCGTATTTTTGCGCCTTGACCCACACTATGCATAATTTTTTAATACAACATCTCATTACCCAAAGATTTCTATAGCCTCTAGCCTGGAATCTCCTCTTTTCTCAAACCTGGCATCACACAGTGAAAAATGAGAAAATGTATTGATCACACGTGCATCCCTTTTAAACATCCTCAACATCCCCTAGGGAAGCTGCCTCACAGCATGCTCTTGCTCTAATCCTGCAGACAAATGAGTTTTATATGCTGTTCATTTGTTGACGACATACATATATATATATGCCACTTCATTTTTCTTTATAGGCTTATATTTGTTTATAGGCTTATATTCTGTCGACATAAGATTTGTGTCTTTAAAACTGGGCCTGTTTACCATTGCTTTCTTGTATGATGGTTATTTAAAGTGATAATGATCCATTTAATGATTGCTGTCAAAAGAAATAAGTGTTTCGTTAAATTTTAACTAAGCCAATGTTTTTAGACTTTGAGTTGGATTTAGGGGGAAAATGGTGTAGATAAAACCATTGTCATAGAACATATTTTTAGACATACATTCACTAAAATGTTATGGCATGCATATGTGTTTGAGCATATTGGAATGAGAATGCTTCCCTGCCTACCCATGCTCACCACTCTGGTAAGCCAGGTGACTAATTCCACAGCCAGAGTGAGAATTAGAGTTCGAGTGTTCTTTATTGCCTCTTCTTTTGTTGACCACTTAGCTGGACACCCCAGATTTCCACAGCTAGCAGCATCCAGAACTCTCCTCTCTGCCAGCACCCCATTGCCAAGGAGAATAAATGACAGCCTCCTTGTGCTTTGTTGGAGAATAGTTTGAAGGGAATAAATTGGGGTAATGACATGAAGAAACTGGACCACCTGGGAAATATTTTGGAATTAAAATAGGCAGAACTTAGTTATGAATTTGATAGAGACAGATGAAACGTGAGAGGCTCAGTCTCTGAGTTCACCGAGGGCCTCCCTCATACTAGGAAGGCACTCTACCACTAATGCACACTCCCCCCCCAGCACGTGTAAGCTTTTCATCCATCTGTATACTTTAAGCATAGTTTCCTTTGTGATATGTATTTTAAAAATCCTAATGTATGCTGTTGAGCCATAAGATTATGGTAGATCTGAAAACATCAGATAGAGACATCAGAACCATAAATAAAATTACACAACTGTTACTTCATTGTATTCCCTGTGTAGTACCTGCATGAAAATGGGATCGTCCATCGTGATCTCAAACCAGAGAATCTTCTCTATGCAACTCCAGCCCCAGATGCACCTCTCAAAATCGGTAAGAAGGTTTTCGAATCTTTCATGACCCATTTTCCCAGAACAGAAGACATTTGTTCTGTGGAATTTTAAATTTTGTTCTATCCAGGATTGTCTCTGCCCAGTTTCCTCAGATCCTTGGCATCTGGGAGTAATAATGCATTGTTTGTTAGTTTATGCCCTTTTCTGGACTGTTCATCTGATGCCATGTTCTAGAATTCCCTGGGCCATTGATGGGCACTCAAATGAGTCCCAGTTTTGGTGTTTAGTGATGATGAGGACCTCAAAAGATAACCTTGTGTTTTGTAAATAAATTTATAGTGAAAAGGTGATCTGTGTTTTGTTTCTTAGCTTTGAATTGACAAATTATTTGGAACTTAATCTTATATGATGAAGAACTTTAATACAAAAATACTTGGTATAAATCAGTGAATGTTGACTCTAAATCTCTTGTTTATATTAGCAGAGAAAACTCAAAGATCATATTTCCAAATTGTTCTCTACAGAATGCTGTTGCCTAATCGATGAAAAATTCCCTTTTGTGTATGTGTGTTTGTGGAGAACATAGTTCTACACAGGGTCTGTGGTTGGTCAAATAAGTTAGAAAATTCCAAATGACATAATATTTTTACTTCTGCATTGCCTCATAGAACCTTCAAAATGCTAATATGTAGGCCAACATATGAGTCACACGACAAGACTTTCTCAAACCATTGACTCTAGAAATCCACCCCATATTCAGAAAAACTATAAAGGTGGACTTTGGGCAATTCTCATCTATCCATTGAAATCAGCCCATTAGGAGAAAATACATTTTATATCTCATATACTTGATAAAGCAAATTTTCATTTCCAAAGACAGTTGTGAGTCGTTAAGAGATGAAGTCTCCTGGGCAGAATCTGTATAAAAGCCGCTGCAGGTTGTTAGACTTCCTGGGCTTTCCTTCAGAGCTAAGCTGATGTGTTCACTGCATTTACAAGTGTTAACACCTCTGAAAGTTAAGTTGTTCTACTGGGGAGGAGCTCAGGCAGCAGAGTATGCACCATGAGAGCAAGAAGCCAAAGAAGCAGCACCAAAACCCTGCTGGGCAGCCCGCTCACTCCGTTAATCACTCCTGAAAGACGGTGGACAGCAGGGAGTTTCCATTCCCTTTGACATCACTTTCAAAGATTTGATCCTTAAAGAGATCTCTTTAGACGGATGGATAGATACTAATTTGGGCAGGAAAGCCTTTCTTTCTGAAGGGCTGCCTGTTGTGCTCAGTGATGCGGTCAGGCACCTCGTGGAAATGTGGGTGTATCTTTGAAGTCTAAAATGGTATCTGTTCTGCTCCTGCCTCCCTTGAAGATTGGTCTGGAGCAGCTTTCTGACATGCTTGAAAGAGAAGTCACTCAGCCATAGGTCAATTGTAGCAACTTGGATAATATTTTACTTAGGTAATATACAGAGGAATAAATAGGAAGAATTTGGGCTGCCCCAAAAAGCCTTTACTCATTCTATGAGCATAAATTATTATCTGACAGACATTGGGAACTGATGTTATTTATTTTCAATCTGAATAAGCTTTTGACATTTCTGTTTATTTCCATGTCATCTATGAAAAATCTGTATTTTATTCCACTGGTGAATTAAAGATTCTGAATTATATCACTAAGCCTATACGCTCTCTGGGAGTTAGTGGGAATTCTTATTAGAAACATCGCAGTTACAATTCTTAAGAAAATGTTAATGTTTTTGAGATTTAAAGAAAAATCAAGCATTATAAATTATTTGTATTTATGAGTCATGTTTTTCCAAGTTAAAGAAATGATTGAATTATTATTTTTTAGTTTCAGAAAAGTGACTTGCTTCCACCCACATCCACCCACCATCAGATCAGAAGTAAACAAATACATAGTTTTGTTTTTGAAAAACAGAAGTGCTTATAAAAGCTGCGAAATGTCTTGGCACACTCAATTCTTCTCTTGTTTTTCTAGCTGATTTTGGACTTTCTAAAATTGTGGAACACCAAGTGCTCATGAAGACAGTATGTGGAACCCCAGGGTACTGCGGTATGCTCTTTAATGCTGACATTTTACCTTTATTGAAATCTATTTTTACCTAATGACCTGATTTTACTTTAACTCCCAAGGTCTCTCTGTATTTATGTTTTAATGTGGTCATTAAATGGCTTGGCCTTGGTCAAGGCATGACTAAGGTGTATAGAAATGATACTGGGGTCACCTTTTGTCTTTCCTGTGGGACTCAGTAATGTGGGATGTAGGACACCTGTGTCAGAGTACCTGTTGGGTCACAGCCACTCTAGGAGACTTACTTGCAGGAAAGACAGCCAGTGGGGAGCAGGGCCAGGAAACAGCAGGGCCTTTGGTTGCAATTAAAGCCGCTGGCCCTTCCTGACTTTCTTTGCTTTTCCTTAGGAGGGTGGAAGGAGGGTGGCTGCATTAATTTAAATGGCAAACAAGATAATGAGAACTGGGCAGCTGCTTTTGTAACCAGAGCACACAGGCAAAATAGCCTGGCTGTGGGTCTGGCCATCCAGCCCTATCGAGAGAAAATGACATAAAATATATAAAATGGAAAAATAGGTTGATTTCCAGTCTTCCCCCAAACTGAGAAAAACATTCCACCGCAGTCCGTCTCTGCATCCCCCATAGCAGTTTCACAGTCTATAAAAGGGGCACAACAGAGCTAGGGAAAAGGCTTATGTAGATTCCAGGTGTGGATCTCAACAGTCAGGCCGAGTGACACCTTCCTCCTGAGAGTGGCCAGGGCTTGGAGAGAGATGCTGACCCTGACCTTGGCATGATACAGTATTTCTTGTAGAGAACTGGAACTGAAAAAGACAATTATAAGAAAACACCTATTTGAAGCTATATGGTATACATTACTTAGGTTATCTATGGAACTGTCTAGCTGGGCTTCCCAAGGAAAGTCTTCCAGCCACCCTTGAAGTGGACAGTGCTAATGCCCCTCCCTCCACTTGCCCCTCCCTCCTAATGCCCCTCCCTCCTCTTGACTCAAGGCCCAGGATGAGTGGAAGACATCCTGTGTAAGTTCACAGATAGATAAAAAGCTTTTGATCCATACTAGCATGAACCACCCTGTCCCTTTTATAACTAAATTAAGATAGCAATAACCAAACCAGAAATAAAACAGCTTGCAGACATTACCAAGTGTTCCTAAAGTTGGAGGTCAACAAATACTCAACAAATCAACTAAAAAGTTGACTCTAGGCAAAAAGAAATAAAACTTGAAGTCATCACTTGAAAGATGTGTCACCATCTCCTCCTGGCATCAGAATCTCTTCACACAGTACTCCTTTCACACACCTCTTCAGCAAACACTTATTAATTTCCTGCTGTATATGCAGGTCACTGTCTCACACAGGAACGGGGTATCCTGCAGTCACTCTACTGGAGAACCTAACAGGCCCTAGAGGAGCAGGCTCATAGACCCATAAGCCATAGTGCCCAGGAACGCTGTGTGCGTATCCTGTAGATATGTGCAAAAGCCACCATGTAAACACAAAGGAGGATGTGTGTGGAGTTACTGGACATTTCTTTAAAGCAAATGTATGTTGAAGTGCCCAGAATTTTAGTTCTGGATAACTCTCACATTAATTAACATTCTAATTTTACTAAGGACCGAAAAGTTCAAGTATCTTTCCCCAAGAGCCCACATTTCATTGTTAGTGGCTCAAACCTAAGAATTCAAAGCCAATGTAGTGGATGTCCCCTTTAAAAATCAATGCAGATAAGTCCATATATTATTTCTGTTATTATACAATGACTTGGCTTGCATGTTCAGTTTTTTTTTGTTTTTGTTTTGAGATAAGGTCTTGCTCTGTAGAGTAGGCTGCCCTCCAGCTCACTGTGTTGTCCAGGCTAGCCTCAAACTTATGCTAAATCTCCTGTCTCAGCCTCCCAGATATTCCAGGTGAGCACCACCACACGCAGTGTAACTGTATGAACCCTCAGATATACCACCTTGTTACTGTAGGAAGCAAAAGTCAAAATACACATGGTCAGAATTAATAGCACCTGGATATCCCTTCTCTGTCTCCTTGTTCATATACACATATTATAATTTTGCTTTTAATGAGGTGGTTTTCCTGGTGGATTTTAAAAAATATTTCCTTACAATTTTATTTTTCATAAATACATAGCACAGAATTAGGTGCTTATCTTACCATTAAACGTTTATATTGTGCCAAGTATTCTTTTTTTTTTTTTTTTGGTTTGTTGAGACAGGGTTTCTCTGTAGCTTTGGAGCCTGTCCTGGACTATCTCTGTAGACCAGGCTGGCCTTGAACTCACAGAGATACGCCTGCCTCTGCCTCCCGAGTGCTGGGATTACAGGCGTGCGCCACCACCGCCCTGCTGTCAAGTATTCTTGTTCTAGATCATATGGCTTCTGAAGTTGAATAGCATGCTGGTTCATAGTAAGTTCAGAAAACTTGACAAAACTGTGGCTTAGCATCCAAAGGCACAGGACACCTCCTGCTTGGCAGGAAATGGACCTGTGAAGTCTCAACAATATGATTGTCTGAGTAAGAGTGGCATAATGACAACACAGTTGTCATGCCACTGTGGACAGGGAAATTCTACATGGTCTCACCCCCTATATTAGGGGCTTCAGATGTTCAATGGCTGCTGAGAGCGGGAGAATAATTTTCTTCTAAGGATGACATCCTGTGTATGGTCCCATCCCAAGTGTATATATAAGCAGTGCTAAATGGACTCGGTAGCTTTTATGCACATGTTCTCAATAATTATTAAAGAGATAATGAACTTGTGAGGGGAAGTGGGAAATGGTGTGGGATGGAGGGAGAAAGGGGGTAGGAGGGAAGTGATATAGATGCAGTGCTCATGTAGAAAGCTCACACAAAACCCTTTTTTAAAAGAGTAGTTAGGTATGGCTTAGACAAGGTAGAGGATGGTATTCTCATGTTCAGAGTCTAAAGATAAGCAATCCCGAGGGCTTGCACAACTATGCCTGTGTGAGTGCTGCTGATCTCAGTGTCAGGGACTCAGACCTTGTCCCACAGTCCAAGTTGGCTGCTTGAAATCTGTTATCATTTCTGTGTTCTGTACAGCAGGATGGGGAGAAGACCAAAAAACAATTACATTCACACTGTCCAGTCCATTTGTCTTTGGCAAATTCAGAGAAAATACTCCATTATCTATCCTTTCTTGATGAGTCCAAAGTTTTGTACCTAATTTACTTTTTATCATAGCTAAGGAAATTAACTATAACTATCTAGTCTTCAACACTGTCAGAGAGACCCAAGAGGGATATACTATTACCTGAATAAACAGGAAGTACAGCGCAAACAACTTCCAAAACATAGAAATGACAGAGACATCTGGCTTTCTGGACAGGCACCCCAAGGTTCTTCTGCAATGTTGGGGCATCTGTCTTTGGCTACAGGCCTGGAATATATGACAGATTTTTTTGTGAAGCAGGAAACTTTGAAGGACTGTCCTACTTTGTCTTGGCAATGTCTGGCAGTTGTCCTCTTTTGTATCCTGCTTGTCCAATTTGGACAGCATACTGTCAGCAGTTGAAGCAAGGGCAATTTTTTGTCCAAATGGCTGGCTTTGCCACATTGAAGGCAAACCTCATATGGAGGTTCTTTAATGCCCATCATTCTTACTTTAAGTAAGTTGGTGCTGCCAGGAGCATATGTGTTTAACTGTCATGAAAATCCTTATGTTATTAAAACATTTTAAATGCTACATTCAGAAAGTCTTTGGATTGTTTGAAGACCATTTAAAATTTAAATTAAATTATATATGTATTATAAAATTATATATATATTATAAAATATATCTCTGACTTTGAAAACGTACCTAACATGACTATAAGTTTGATTGTTATAAATGACTAACTACTACCTGTCTTTTTTTATTATTATTATCCTAAATAGTTTTCAGGGACTAAAACTTTACATTTTTAAATGAACTGCATTGGTACAATACCTTAAACAAGAAATAGAGGCATATAAGACAGTATAACAAAAATAACCTTAAATTTTTATCAATATTCAAAAATATCTTAAACAAGAGTAGAAACATATATATAGTGTAACAAAAATAACCTTAAATTTTTATCAATATTCAAAAATATCTTAAACAAGAGTAGAAACATATATATATATAGTATAACAAAAATAACATTAAATTTTTGTCAATATAGCAAATCTATACCAATATAAAATATTTGAGACTAGTAGCCTTTTTAGTCAGTAGTATACCTTTTATCCTAATAGTCTTATATTCCCCCTTTTTCCTTTTTAGAATGAGATTCCTGAATCTAATCTCTGTTTCCTCCCTGACCATGACCAATAACAACTTGTAACCAACCCCCCTAAATCATGACAAACATCCACCAAATGACCAAAAACCATCTACCCCACCTCTTGGGAATGTGGACATTGTTATCTTAAAATTACTTCCTGTTGTCTGGGGGTGACAGCATCTTTAGGGGACCCAGAAGAAAACTGAAATAAAGATCAAGTCCTGGGAGAGCTAGCTGTTGTTCAGGCTTGGTGTGATGGGAATGTGGGGCTTATCTGAAGTCCTGGCTGGAGTAGTGCATTAAGCTGGACCATCTTAGCTAACTGCCTTGAAATTGTCCTGAGCAGTGTGTAGTCCAAAGCTGATCATTGGATGGTGTTTGTCAGCTTAGTGGCATTACCACAATTCAGGTGGAATCATTGTTGTGGGGCCCCATCATCCTTTTGGAGATTTCATGGGTCGCTATAAGGAATGATTTCAGTAACTGCAGAAAACTTAAACATTTTAAATGTCATATGCAGCAGATCTTGGAGGTGTTACAGGACCACAATCTATTAAATATACCCAGGATACACAAGCTTAATTCCTAATCACCTACTTCAGATTCAAGCCTGAAATCACATACAAGAATCTAGATGAAGCCTAAATCTAGAATTAGTTAATATTCTATATGACCACTAATATCACAGCAGAAAGTATATATATATATATATATATATATATATATATATATATATATATATATATATATA